TAAGTCAGTGTGATTGCATGCCGCTGGTGATGGGGATGCCATACAGATTCATGTCAAAAATCCCGAACTATCCCTTTAAATAATTTGTTTGTAGACATAAATGCTGAAGGTTGACCTTCATACCAGCTGCTTTAATGGACTCTGTGAGGGACATGTGCTTTGCTAAATGATTTTAACTTCATCCTCATCATTCACTTTATTTGTAGAGTGCTTTAAATGAACTAACAGATAAAATCAAAGTGCTGGACATGGCTAAAAGTAATAAAACACAACAAAATAATAAAATACAGCATAAAGATAATAATAAGCCTGTAATAAGAATATGTTTAAGCTAATTAAACAAGTTCACAACAACTACTGTTTCTCCTGTCGATGAATAGAAGTAAGTTTTGAAAATTTATCTACATTTGGTAAACCAGCACTGTTCATCACTGTTAGCACACCCTCCCCAATGTGTCATGCTGCGCTGTTGCTACATTAAAGGCAATCATGGAAGAAAACCTGTGAGATGATTGAAGAGTTAATAGTAGGATGGAGGTTTCTCCTAAACATGTAGCCAGTTTGGACCAAATGTCCAGATTGAAAAATAGTTAAATATTGAAATGCACAACAATAGTTTGACCTGAAAAAATGCAGAAATACAAGACTGGGGAGGAATTCATACAAACCAACTAAAGTCGACATTATAAACCTGGAAATATGTTTTAGTTTGTGTTTAGATATCAGTACATTCCACAAGCTGGACCTTCTGCACCTAACAATACAGAGCAATCTACTGCTAAGGTAGAAAGGCTAAAAACAATAAAACCATTAATGGACTTTATTTATTGAACCATAAAGATTTGGACAAACCATGCTGAGTCATGTCTCCACAGTCTGTTTATGTAACCGTGTCGTTGTGCTCACAGGAGCTCTCCCTGAGGGTCACGGTGGCAGAGGCCACTGACGACGGACGAGGCGAAAACCTGGGTCATGTGATCATCGGACCTGAAGCCAGCGGGATGGGGATCACCCACTGGAACCAGATGCTGGCTACCCTGAGGAAGCCTGTGTCCATGTGGCATCCACTACGCCGGATCTAACCCCCTCCCCATGAGCAGACCCTTACCTTTCCTCCTCCTGTTCTTTTGGATTCTGCTTTGGTGCCGCGTTCAGATCTGTTATAATGTCATAGTTAGAATTTAGAGTTGTGATTATTGGTACCAAAGTGGATTAAAATCATATCTTCAAGTATTGAGGAAAATAACATTGGATATTATATTAAATATTTTGTTATTGTTCTTAACTTTCACCTAAATCAGCCTGATTCTTTCTCTATTGACAGCAGGGGAAGATGTGAATATGTAAACCTTTTTTCCAGCCGTTAACAACTCTGAAATAAAAGTTTCCGTTTTCAGTTTTAGGTATGAAAATCCCCTCCTTGCATGGTGCCTACTCCGGTTGTAGCCTCTCTTAGATGTGATGGGAATGATGAACAGGACCGACGTCGATCCTCTTTCAGGAAAAACAATGGTTTGACATTGATTGCGCCTCATTGATTTATTCTTTCCTAGTGGATTTTGAGCTGTATTTAAATTGCTTGTATATCTTGTTAAGAGTCAGATGGATTGGGGGTTTGTTTCTTTTTCTGTTTAGTATTTAATGTACATTTGAAAAATATCCAGGTACTTTGATCCAGGTGAAATAATTGTAATCTGTAGCAGTTGTTTCAGGGTGGCCAACTCTTAACGTCATTCTGTTTTTAATGCAATAAGCAGATTTAATAGTAGTGCACCGTAACGCTTTTTACATTGCCACATTTTCCTCACAATTCCATGTACAAATCATGTTTTCCTACTTCAATTTAGAAAATTATGTTTTAGCTTACATTTTATGACCGAGCAGCTAAACACCATGGAAGCGGCTCTGTAAAGCTTGCTAAGTGTTGAGTTCTGGCTGTGCGATTTCACTTCAGTTAGAGAAAACAACTTGATGTTCTGCATTTGATGTTCACTCTTGTCAAACCTACTTGAGTCATCCTTAGTGACGCAGCTTGGCTGAAATGAAAGCAGTGAGACAAGAGGCTCACCAAGATCAGAATGTCAAGGTGGCTTTTTATTCTCCAGCAAATTGTGCAGTTGTATTTTATCATAACCTTCAAATGTAAGAAGAAATAACATTTAACACATAATCAGCCACAGGCATTGATGTGGAATAATTTTTGTTTCTTTATTTTGGCAGAACTGCATTTCACTCCTCACTTTACAAAACTGTCCAAAAACAACATAACGTAAATCCAAAATACATTTCCTCTGTGCCAAAAAATAAAGCAATATTTTAATTCATTGTCACAACTTGCATTCAACAAAGCTGTAGCCTACATTCAGCCATGCATGACGTTCCTTGGCACTTGATGTGGATGAGCCTCAAGAAAACAGTGTATAGTGTGAATGCTGTTTCAAATAAAAAAAGCAGTTCGATAAGAATAAGGCTGATTGACTTATTTAACTTTCTTAGACATGTTGATAGAGTTTGGAAAAAGCATTCAAACATTTCTTGCAATTTTAAACAAATAGAAAAATTAGGGGGAAAAAATTAATAAAGGATTTTATTGTTGAAAATAGATAATAACACCAAGGGATGAAAAGATACCAAAGGCAGAGGTGGAACACCCACAGACACACAGAGCTGCAAACAATATTGAAGGAAAAAACTAAAAATAACATGCTGTCATTTTTACAAAATACCTTTTATAGTTCCGTTTTCGTTCTAAGGTTTATCTCATTTTTTGTTGACTAATACGTAAGAAAGAAAAAAAGCTTTAAAGACAGAAATTAAGCACAAGGTAGCTTGTAAGTTTTACAAATGAGTTTTTACATAATATACAAGAAAATAAACTCTTAAATCAAAACATAAAACACAGGCCACACAAGAAGTTAGTAGTAGAAGTAAAGTTTTCAGTTCCAGTCTAAGTTCATATTGCATTTTATCCGGTAAGTAAAAAGAAAAAGCTGGAAAGTTCATAGAAATGTGCTCTGGTAGATATAACCAACTAAAGCCATAGGCTGGGATTTGAACAACTCCCTTTGAAAAATTCAGTCTGAATATAAATGACCAGTGGTTAATTAACACGTAACATAAAGTTTGATGAGGAAAAAAGTAATAATCTTTCAGGTTGAGTTCATTGCTGTGGATCATTGATCACCTTTTTGCAAAGCAAGCTCACTATATTAGTGAGCCATGCTGCACTTCTATAAAATAGTAGTTATAGGAGGGAGAAAAAGACCTCAGTATTAGACACAGGATCACTTTGCTTTTACCTGTAAAATTTAATCCACTGCACGGTGGAGCAGTCTGTAGTACTGCTGCCTTGCATTTCGTTTCCCGGTCTGTGGTCTTTCGGCATGTAGTTTGCATGTTTAAAAATAAAATACAAATGTTACGTTAGACTTAGACAAACTTTATTGTCATTTTGTATGCAAAGAGTGAATGGAAAACAAAATTGCATACAGCTTGCAACAGTGTAATGATATTGCAGTTGGCGAAGATAAACATTACCAATGTAAAGTGCAGCAGTGATCCTAATGTAACAATGTAGGAGAAAAGGAAACCAGTTTAAAATAATGGTGCAAAAGAGCGTTAATATGTAAAGGTTCAGTGCATTGCAAAATGAATATGGTGCAAAATACAATAGAAACATTATCCAACATTATCCAATTAAAAGGGTAGTGATAAATAATGTGATGCAGAGTTCAACAGTCTGGAAAACAGTCTATGTTTCTTCCTGAAGTCCAAGATGATCTCCTTCATCTTCTCCATATTTAGGATCAGGCTGTTATCTCTGCACCAGGCCACCAGCTGCTCCCCCTCCTCTCTGTAGTCCTGGTCGGTAAAGATTCTCAGTCATCCAGGTCATAGTCATTCCAAAAAAAGAAAATTAAAAACAATCCACTGGACTTTGTTTTCCAGTGGATTGTTTTAAATGTTCTTCTTTTGGAGAGTCAAACAACATTGTAATGTCTTTCAACATATAAAAAATATTTGGTCCAACACTTTAGTTTAGAGGACACATAAAGAATAAAAGCTACAGTAAAACAGCTTTTCTCAAACAACACTTTTGGTTGCCTGGATACTTAATCTCCTAAGCTATCATTTGTTGCCTTGAACACAGACTGTGTTTGACCTCATCCCAGGCTTGTTCCTTACTTCATAACAATTTCGTCCAAGTCTGAGTGAAAAATGTGTCTCATAGGACAAAACTATTGTTGATAGGAGATGAGAAACCTTCACTTACCTACATTAGTCGTCTTCTTCCTTCCATGATGTTTGGGGAAAGTAACAGTTCTTATTACATTATTATCTGTTTGTCAAAAAGCTATTACACACCCAATTGACACACACCTACTAGAAAAGTTAGTAAGGTGGAAAAAATAAAGCAAACAATACATGATGTTGTCTACAACAGGAAAGCAAGACAACACATCAGTATCCATAAATGGTAACATACTTTTTACTCATGAGAAGCATGGCTCCAAACACCTTTTGCTTCATAAAACAATCTTTCAAAAACACATTTGCCTCTGAAGAGAAGACTTTGAGTTATGATTGATTATACACTTAATCATATCGCAAGATTTTTGGCAATAGGAGGCAATAGGATATAACACTACTTGCTATTTAAAGAGTGAATGTGCAAGGAAGAGTAGAGAAGTTTGCTATGTTTGTATTATTTAAAATACTTGCAAGACTGCAAACGCTTTAGAAGTAAAGTGGTAAAAGGGTAAAGGTGAGTATGACAAAACATGTTTCAAAGATTTGGAGTCTTTAAGCTACAGTAACATACCTTGTCAGAGTTTTAACAAATTTGGCACTGGCATGGTAGAAAGGTGACGATAAAAACATTTTCCCAGAATATATATATGTTAGTTGTTTTTATTGCATTTATTTGCACCTAATGGTAGTAAACTGACAACTGTTTATCATCTTTTCACACTTTACTGAGAGTACTTAATATGTCTGTAAAGAATGACTTTATGTTTAGAAATTTTCCATTTTCAAAAGTGTATTTGTGTGTAAAAAAGTAACAAATAAAAGTTCATAAAAATAGTTGTATTTTCAGAGTGTTTCCACCTATTTATCCAAAGGAAATTATTTACTTTTGCCAATAAGAACATGTCTGAACCATTTTTCTATGTCATGCATGAAAGAGAAGTCACATCCTAAATACACAAGGTAAATATTCAGTGGACTGAAGTAATTGGTCAAACAGACCATGTTTGTATAACACTTGAGACAAAGTAATATAGCTTCACTGGCCTCTCACAGTGCAAACAGACAATGAATAGGCAACAAGAACAATAAAATAATCTATCATTTTTATAATTAGCTGAAAAAAGAATGTTTATTAACATTAAACAGAATTGTGGAACAGTTACTCATTTAGACAGACTTTATTAATGTAGATTAGTTTTCATGTTTTCCAGTCTTTGGTAACTATTTACTATAATATGCTATAAGAACTGTTCCATATTTTGTACATGCAGGTGTATTCTAGAAAATGAAAATAGAGTATGTTTGTTTTCAACTATTATTTAGGAAGATGGCTTCTCTGCGAAACATTAATTTCTACTTCTTTTTTTTTTTTAGTAAATTAAGATTTTAATAAATAAATCAAAAGTAGCTGTGACGTTATGTAAGTCCAGCAAAAAGCCCATGCAAAATGTAGGTCAGTTCAGCCCTCTCAGCCAATCAGAATTGAGGGGCGAATAAGGGGCGGGGTGACGTAGAACAAAGTCCAGGAAGGATTTCTGTGGCTGAAAGTAAACAGATAAACCATTTTCTCCAAGACACCCCTTTAGTAGTTTGTGGTTCTTCTGACGTGAGGCTGTCGAGATGGCGGACAACAGAGACAAAACTGCCGACCAAATGAAGACATGGAAGGAGAGCAGAGGCTCCCAGGTTTGTAGAAAAGCTGCATTTGTTCAACTATTTTGCTTTGCACTCTGATATCCAAGAACTGGGTGATAGGTCGTGTAGGGGTGACAAGGCAAAACCGCCCTTTGTTTTTCAGCCGTTGCCCGCTTATTATTCATTTTATCTCATCCCAGACATTCTTATAAACCATTTAATTGCTATAATTATGGTTTTGCAGTCATTTCTTTGTAGAAAAGAGCTGGGTTGCTAATGTTTTGCTAACTGAAATTAATACAACGCCGTCAAGCTAAGGCTGGCTGCATTAAAACCTCCCCTTTTTTAATATCCAGCATAGGTTAAAATAAGCTTAAAGAAGTGAAGGTGGATTCCTGCTGCTGTATGTGATGGAACTTGAACTTTTAGTTACATAACGAGCCAACAGTGCAGTCTGCACGGGTGGGATGGCCCTGCCTGGGACTGTTACTAAAATAACCTCTAACAGTAAATCCACTGTTGCTCATTGAAATGAGGTTTAAACCCAATTCAACTCTAAAAGTTGTTTCACTAATATTACATTCCTTTGTGCTTTGTAAACTACTGGTGTTTTTCACTATATGAATGCGTAACTAATTGATATATTCAGCATTATGCAAAAATAAGAAGATTATTTTGAAAGTAATCAGTGTTGTGGCACTTTAAAAGTGTTGTACCGTGTGAAAAAGTGTAAGAAAATAGTTATTATAGCAAAAATGCAGAAAAAGTTGTATTTCAATTTATTCATTGAAACTGAAGCTTGAAATTAATATGAAAATGTCTTGATAGCTGTACTGAACGAGATCTCTTTTCGTGTACACTGTGTGTGTACAAAATGACAATAAAGTCTGTCTTTTATTTCTCTCCTTGAACCCCAGTCGGCTTCAGCAGATGGCCACTCACACTGAGCCTGTTTCTGCTGGAGGTTTCTTCCTGTTAAAAGGGAGTTTTTCCTCTCCACTCTACAAGCATGCTTAATGTGAGGGATTGCATTTGTGTCAATGAATCGATGAAATCAACTGGTTTTCCTTAGATAGAAAACTTTGAATCATTTTGACTGTATGATCTGGTGAACTGTAAAATGCCTCAAGATGACGTGTTGTGAATTTGAGCTATATAAATAAATTGAATTAAGTCTAAGTCTTAATTGGAATTATTAAAGGCTGTTTTTAATAGGCCAATGCAATCAGTAGTTTATCCACTAATCAATTGTTTAAAACATAAAAGATTAGCGCATTTCGCTCTTAGTCAGATTACCAGTGATAATGTGCCACCGGAAATCACCACAGACACCACGGTTGGTCTGAATGCAGCCTAAGATGACTGATTGGGGTGTTATGATGATAAAAATCATAACACACACACTACCGTTCAAAAGTTTGGGGTCACATTGAAATGTCCTTATTTTTGAAGGAAAAGCACTGTATTTTTCAATGAAGATAACTTAAAACTGGTCTTAATTTTCTAACTTTGTAAATCTATAGAAACAGTATATAAATAAAATAAAAATGTCATAAAAATTGATTTTG